TAAACGCATTTTCTATTTTTATGTTTTGAGAAACTGTTTTTCAGAGTAACAAAAAGAACGCATTTTCAACAATTTCAAAATAGACACTCAAAACACAAAATACAAAATGAATTCAAAACTCAAAACTGAAACACAAAGAGAACAGCCCTTAACATTTTGTATTAAAATTTGGCCAAAATAGCTCCAAAACATGGGCTATATGCTCAAAAAGTTCCATTCCTCCACTCCATGATATTTTTCGAAGGCATATAGAGTGCATAAAATAAAAGAATTAGATGAGACTGACTGGACGCCAGTAATTTAATGAGGGAAATGTGAAATTTAATGATCCATATTGATTTATGGAAAAATTATAGCAACGATCCCTAATACTTTCAATTTTTGTAGACTTTATCTCAACTTTCAATTTGTATCAGCGAATGTCCCTAACCTTTCATAAATATGTATATGAAATACGATTAGATGGAAACCATCTATTTGATCGTTAGTTAACCAAAAAAAAAATGATCAATTTTGATCAAATTTAAAAGGGTAAAATGGTACTTTGCATATTTCCAAATATTGATAATTAAAATAATAAAACTAAAAAAAAAAAAAAAGTATATCCCCACCCACCTTCGAGCGCCACCCTATCCACCCACCCCATCTTTATTTTTTTCCCCTCAATTTCTACAGTAGTACCGCTGGCAATTTCTTCTTACATTACTGCTTTTTGACTTTTATATTACTTCTTCTCCATCGCAAACACCACCACCGTCGACCTTCTTTTTTACCCTTGCATTACTACTTGATCAAGATGAGCCTCCTCAAACTATTCTTATTGCTTGGTGATATAAGATGGTGTTAACAATTCTCCACGATTGTCGACTACTTAATATGCACCCCCTATCGAGCACCACAACATAGGCCATCTACTACTATGAGAACGTCGACCCCATGATGCCATCTACGTTCACATAGGTCATTGACCACTATAAGGCCATCGACTTCCATGAAGTCCTCTACGTTCACATAGGTCGTCTATCACTATAAGGACGTCGACCCCTATGAGGCCATCTACGTTCACATAGGTCGTCTACCACTACGTGGCTGTCGACCCCCGCCATACTTAGCCAAATAAATGGCCATGAGGTAGACAAGAATCACCCAACATCAAACTCGGCCATGACCAACCGCTATGCGAGTGGGTGTTAACGCTACAGAACGTGGGGGAGTGGGAAGGCATACGTGGGACACGTGA